CCTTCCTGCTGATTTCTTAACCTCATCAGTTCTTTTGGCTTCAAACTAGTTCTCCACCTCTCTCTTTTGGACAGCTCCACATTTCTGCTCCTCCTCTGATCAGCCAGTTCTAATTATTCCCAGGGCACCTTTTCTCTGTGGTCTCAGGTGATTCAGTCAACAAAGAGTACCCTTCCCTGAATAGACCTTGGCCAATACACAGAACCAGCCATCCCAAGTACAAGACAATGCTGACATTTTTGCAACAAAGCTGAATATAATGCTAAAACTTTTCTCAGTCAGAGATCTGTAAATGTGATGAATGTAGACGACTCTGCCTAAAAGAGAGAACTTGAGCAATTCAATTTCTAAGCAGGAAAGTGAGGGACAGACCTTAATTATGGGAACAAAACTGTCCTCATGTTTTAATTTCATAATTTGAGCCTCTGTATATAGCTTTAGCCACAGATATTCCCTTTATATCAGACTTCCTGTACTAAAGTGCTGTCAGACGTTTAAGAGGAAGATATGGGTAGATGGTTAAAACACCAAAGAATAATAAAATCTGTTTTATTTCTCCTCATAACCCATTAATTTTCTTCACAAAGATGCACACTTTGGGCATAAATAATATTTACAATATTACAGTGTATGGGATTATGGAAATCATATTAGCCAAGTAGCAATTTTAATTAAGTATACTTGCCTAATTGTATAGAGGTTTTCTTTCAGTACGTGTTTTCATCTAGAGCCTTAGAACACTTCCCTTCTTGTATTAGAAAAATAAAATTAAAGAAACAGAAACTCTGATGTAATTTAAATTAAATTACTCTAAATGGTTTTTGATGAGTTCTATTTAAATTTTAACACCAATTTAGAAACTAAAGCCTATACAGCTTAAATGTCTTGCAGATCATTTTTAAAAACACAAAAAATGGAATTTAATTACAGATTTTTAAGTCACAAAATCTAAAACCAGTGTGGTATATGATTTGAAATTTCATACTAACCACAAAACAGATTAAAATATAATGCTTAATCAGCATGGCAGGCAAAATATCTATGATATGTAACATTTTATAATATGAAAAATTCTAAGCTACAGTAGATAGATACAGAGATTAGACTTCTTAGTGTTAACCAACTGAATAATTTTCAAGTATCCCCAGTGAAAAAGATTTAAAATAACTGGAAAACCAAATGTTTTTTCAGGGAAACCAGAGACCAAAAATTAAGTATATCAACAAAAAACAATTGATATTATATTTTTAAACATTATGTGTGACAATATATTTTCTATCTACAAAATTGTAATATTGGGAATCATTTTGTGAAATTACCCTATACATAACCATATTAGGAATCTATTTGTACCCTAGCAGCTCCTCTTATTTTTTGAAGGCTGCATTCTGAGGGTTGAAGGGAGATTGTGCAGTCAAAAGTTATCAGAAACACCTCAAGATTTTAACTCAACTCCAGAGCACACACATAAGACTTCCTTTCCAAGAAGAGTATTAAAATACTCCTCTTACTTGGTTATTTTGGGGGATTTTAAAGTAAACAGGACATGACAGAGTAGTGATTTTACCCTAATTTGTTCATGTAACTAACTTTTATTGAAGTATAATATGTATACAAAGAATGTACCAACCTTAAAAGGTAACATTTGATTAATTTTGACAAATTAAGTTGTGTAACCACCATCACAATCATGACATAAAACATTTCCATCAATCCAAATTTTCCTTCATGACCCTTGCAGTCAATCTTTACACCCTCAATCCTTTTTCAGCAAACACTGGTCTCCTCCTTTTACTCCAGTTCTGTCAGAATTTCATATAAATGGAGGTTCATAGGTCATGTAATATGTCACTAGGCAGTCTTTGGTACTGGGTTCCTTTCATTTAGCATAATGCTTTTGAGATTCATGTATTAAAAGTTTAACTTCTTTTAAACTTTTTTTTTTTTTTTAATTCTTGAGCCTATTATATGATTATAACAAAATGAGTTTATCCGTTCACCATACGATGGACATTTTGTTTGTTTCTGGTTTGGACCTATATTAAGAATAAAGCTCTATGAAAATTCCAAGCACACATTTTTTGTGGCTATATGCTTTCCTTTTTTAAAAAAAGTAATAAGTAGAAGTAGAATTGCTAGAACTTATAATACCTTTCTAAAAAACTGCCATATTGCTTTCTAAAGTGGATGCAATATTCTGTAGTATACTAGCAATATATGCATATATGCAATCTCCAGTCACTTCATATCCTTTTCAGCCCTGGGGATTATCAGCTTTTAAAACTGTAACCATTTTAGTGGTCATGTAGAGATATGTCATTGTTCTTTTAACTTTCATTTTTCTAAACATTACTGATATTAAGTATTTTTTGTGTGCTTATTTGCTATTTGTATGTCTTCTTTGGTAACATGTCCATATATTTCTCCCTTTTTAAATTGCATATTTTTTATTACAGAGTTGTGAGAGTTCTTTATATATTTAATATATACCTCCTTTATCTTATTATGTCATGAACATACTACCTCTTAGCATGTAACTTACCCTTTCATTTTTGAAACAGTACTCCCTAAATAACAATTTATAAATATTTTGATGAAGTTCAGTTTATCATTTCATGATTTGTGCTTTTCATTCCTATCTGAGAAATCTTTTCTATTCCCTGCTTAGAGGAATTTTCTGCTTTATTCTAAAAGTTTTAAAATTTTAGCTGTTCTATTTAGATCTAGCATATGTTTGAAATTAATTTTTGTATATAGTATTAGGTAAGGGAGGTTTATTTATTTTCTTGCATATGAATATCCACAGTTGTCCTGAAACATTCATTGAAAAGACTATCTTTTCCCCTTTGAACTGCCTTGACACCTTCGTTGAAATTAATTGGCCATATTTGTGTGTCTGTATCTCTTTTCTGTATTCTGGCCCATTGATCTGTATATCTTTGTTCATACCAATAACCAATATCTTGATACCTGTAGCTTTAAAGTCTGAAATAAGATAGCGTAACTCTTCCAAATTTGTTCTCCTTTTTCAAAATTGTTTTAACTATTCTAAGTCTTTTGCATTTCCACATACAATTAACATCAACTTGTCAGTCTCAACAAATAAGCTTGTTAGAATTTTGTGATTGCCAATTTTAATGAATAAGTTCATTGATCAATTTGAGGAGATGAATTTGAGGAGAGAATTTGGAGAGCCATCTCAACAATATCATGTTTTCCAATCAACAAATATGGCATATACCACCATTTATTAAGTCTTCTTTAATTTGTCTTAGTATTTATTTATAGTTTTAAGTGTAGAAGAATTGCATATATTTGGTTGAGTTTATCCATAATTCATATTTTATGCTATTGTTAATGTCCTAATTTAATTTTTAAGATACAAGTTTTAGCTCACTTATTAGTTCTAGTAGGTTTTTGTTAGACTTAAGATTTTCACCATAAACAGCCATGGCATCTATTCATAAAGAGATTTATTTTTCCCTTTCCAATTTGTATGCCTTTCCTTTCTTTTACTTGCCTTTTGCTTTGGCTACAACTGTCAGGATAATGTCAAAAAGAGCTGGTGCGAACAGTTATTCTTGCCGTATTCATGATCACTCAGTGTTCCACCCCTAAATATGATGTCAGTAGTCAGTTTTTTTGTAGATTTTTTTTTCCAGAATATATAAGTTGCCTTCAATTTTTGGTTTGCTGAGAATTTTTATATTATGAATGAGTGTTGATTTTTGAGGGGAAGCTTTCATTTTTTCACCATTAACTATTGTGTTACTTGTATGAACACACACACACACACTCCCAAAAAAACAAAAAATATATATATAAAATTTGTTTAAATTGAGGAAATTTCCTTCTTCTTTTAGTTTGCTGAGAGTTTTTAGCATAAATGGATAAATAAAATTTGTCAGATACATTGCATCTATTATGGCTGATAAAAGAAAAACTTCAGCCAAATTAAATTTTAAAAAGTTTAATTGAGCAGTGAATGATTAACAAATTGGCAGCTCCTGCATCAGAGTAGACTCAGAGACTCTAGTGCAACCATGTGGCAAAAGAAGATTTTATGGAAAGAAAAAGGAAAGTGAGGTACAGAAGCAGCTGGGTTGGTTACAACTCAGAGTTTGCCTTATTTGAAAATGGTTCAAACAGGTGGCTACATTTGATTGGCCAAAACTCAGTGACTGGCACAAGGGTAGGCTAGGCTCTGTTTACACCTCCACTTGTTACAGTTCAAGATGTACAGAGAAGTCTTTAGGCCGAACTTAAAATATGTAAGGAGGCAGCTTTAGGCCAACCTTGATTTAACATGGCTTTTCTCCTTTATTGTAATAAACAATGAGTTACATGGATTGATTTTCAAATGTAAAATCAACCTTGCATTCTTGAGATAAAGCCAGTTGGTAACGATGTGTTATCTTTTTAAAATATTTTCCTTAATTTAATTTTTCGAAAGTAACAATTGTTGTGTCTGTGTTAACGAGGGATACTGGTCAACAATTTATTATTTTTTTGTAATATCTTTGACATTTTTGACATCAGGGTACTGCTTGCCTCATAAAAGGAGTTGGGAAGCTTGTCTTTCTCATCTATTTTCCGGAAGTTTGAGAACTCCTAGTATCAATTTTCTACTTAAATATACTTAAATATATTTCTTTAAATTCCCCAATGAAATCATTTGGACCTAGAGTTTTCCTTGTGGAAAGATTTTTATCCATGAATTTAATGTCATTACTAGCATAGGACTATATTACTAACATTTCTCTATTATCTTTTTAATTCCTGTAGGATCAGTATTAATGTTCCCTCTTTCATTCCTGATAGCCTTTTTTGGTATGTTCAGACTGACTAGTTGTTTATCAATTTTATTGACCCTCTCAAAGAAACATCTTTTGGTTTTATCCATTTTTCACTTGTTTTTCTGATTCCATTTTCAATTATTCATATACTTATTTTTATTTTTTTCTATTTTATTGCATATTTTGGTTAAATTTCCTCTTTTTTTCCTAAGGTGGAAGAATATATCACAGGTTTTTTTTGAGAACTTAAGGATGACATATTACAGATTTGAGACCTTGTTTTCTTCCTGATACAAGCATTTTATGCTATAAATTTTACTCTAAATCCTACTTTCTTGCTTCAGTCTATGAATTTTGATATGTTATTATGCTAGTTATTAATTGATTCTCATCTCACAGCCATCCATTTTTGTCCTGCTTTGGGAAACTGAAAACAAACCCTGTAAAAATTTCCCTTTAGACAGCTGCTCAATGTTAGCTTTAGTGGGTGCTGGGGGATCACTGCAAGACAAAGCAAAGGAAGAGGTTTCTTTCTGGTGTGATTTTTCGTTTTCTCCCGCAGTAACCAGTGATGTGCAGGCGGCTCCACAATACTCAGTCATCAGTGAGTTTCTCCAGCAGTTCAGAGGGCTGCTTCTGGTGGAAGAGCTCCAGGAAGACAGCACTACATGAGGATGATAGGGAAATGTTAGTAATTTTTGTTTCTTTGTTTGTTTGTTTGTTTTGAAACAGAGTCTGGTTCTGTTGCCCAGGCTGGAGTGCAATGGTTTGATCTCGGCTCACTGCAACCTCCGCCTTCCGGGTTGAAGCGATTCTCCTATCTCAGTTTCCAAATAGCTGGGATTACAGGCACCCACCATGAGGGCCTCTTTCTGCTTAGTGGCCGTGGCCCTCCATTATTTCAGCAATGGATTGTTTCTTCGGACCACCTTTGACCAGCCTGTCACTTCATGGACACCCTGCAGGGAGTTTCCATAGAACAGCTCCAGCCGACCCGACCCTCTACTGAATTTTCCAGATACCCAGTGGATTCCTCTTATGAATGAGCTCTGGCTGCAACCTCTGGCAAGTTTGTTGGCCATAGGTAAGGTGTAGTTGCTTGTAGTAGTTATACTCTCTCTAATAAAGTCTGTAACTTAGGCAAGCAAGGGGAGGGGAATATCTTCCAACTTCTAAACTCCTTTCATCTGTATTCTTACTCACCAGAAACAATAGATTATTTTTGCATTTATTACTCCTATATTCCACTAGTTACCTATTTTATTAACCCTTTACTAGTTAATAGTTCTTCACCCGAAAATGTTCATGTTGAACATTTTGCTGTGGTTTCTGTCTGCTGATTGGAACCCGACTAACTTGTGTTTTTGTTTACTTTTAGTTCAAAATATTTTCTAATTTCCCTTATGAGTCCTTCTTTGACCCAGAGGTTATTAAGAAATATGTTGGACCAGGCGTGGTGGCTCACACCTGTAATCCCAGCAATTTAGGAGGCCAAGGAGGGTGGATCACCTGAGGTCAGGAGTTCGAGACCAGCCTGACTAATAGGGAGAAACCCTGTCTGTACTGAAAAATACAAAATTAGCTAGGTGTGGTGTTGCATGCCTGTAATCCCAGCTACTCAGGAGGCTGAGGCAGGAGAATCGCTTGAACCTGGGAGGCGGAGGTTGTGGTGAGCCGAGATCGCACCATTGCATTCTAGCCTGGGCAACAAGAGTGAAACTCGTCTCAAAAAGAAAAGATGTTGCTTTATTTTCATATATTTTAGTATTTTCAGGATGAATTCACATTATTTAATTTTAGTTTAATTTTGTTGTGGCCAAAGTCATACTTTATATGATTTATTTTTTTTCTTTACTGTGGTAAAAAAAACCACATAGGATGACACCTACTCTGTTAACACATTTTCATGTGCACTGTTGTACAACACATCTCTAGAGCTTTCATCTTGCATGACTGAAACTATAGATTCATTGCATAGCAAATCTCCATTTCCCCCACCCTGAGTCACTGGCAGCTAAAATTAAACTTTCCATTTCTATGAGTTTTTACTACCTCTGTTACCTCATATAAATAGAATCATGTGGCATTTGTTCTTCTATAACTAGCTGATTTCACTTAACATAATGTTCTCATAGTTCATCCATATTATGGCATAGGATAATTTTTTTTCTTTTTCAAGGCTGAAAGTATTCCATTGCTTGATTATGCCAAATTTTCTTTATCCATTCATCCATCAAACGATTTTAGTTGTTTTTACATCTAGGCTATTGTGAATAGTGCCAAAGTGAACATGAATGTGAAAGTGCACATGTTATTTCAAGATCCTGTTTTGAATTATTTAAATAAATACTTGAAGTGGGATTGCTGGATCATATGATAGTTCTACTTTCAATGATGAGAAACTTCCATATTGTTTTTCATAACGATTACACAAGTTGCATCTGTACCAATAGTGTACAAGGGTTCCCTTTTCTTCACACCCTTGCCTAAACTTGTTATTTCTTGCTGCTCTCTGTTTCGTTTTTGTCCTTTCTTTGATAATGGTCCTCTTAAGAAGTATGAGATAATATCTCATTTTGGTTTTAATTTGCATTTTCCTGAATATTAGTGATATTGAGAGTCTTTTCATGTACATGTTGACTACTTGTATGTCTTCTTTGGAGAAAGGTCTATTTGAGTTCTTTATTTTAAAAATCAAAAATTTCATTTTTTTCTTATTATTTAGTTGTAGGAGTTCCTCACATGACTGGATATTAACCCCTCATCAGATATATGGTCTATAGATATTTTCTCCCATTCTGTATGTTCCCTTTTCATTCTGTTGTTTCCTTTGCTTTATGCAAGCTTTTTAGTTTGATTTAATCTGGCTTGTGTGTTTTTGCTTTTGTTACCTCTGCTTTTAGTGTTATATCCAGGAAATCATTTCTAAGACCAAGGTTATGAAGCTTTCTTCCTATATTGTTTTCTCTGAATTTTATAGTTTTAGGTATTACACTTAAGGATTTAATACATTTTGAGTTGATTTTTGTGTAATGTGAAAGATGAGTCCAATTTCATTCATTTGCATGTGGGCATCCGGGTTTCCTAAACTCATTTGTAAAACAGACTATCATTTTCCCATCTATGGTCTTGGTATCCTTACCAAAGATCATTTGACCCAGTGTGTAAGGGTTTATTTCTTTAATCTCTATTTTCCTCTGTTGTCTATAGGTTTGTCTTTATGCCAGTACCATCCTATTATGATTACTCTACCTTTGTAATATGTTTTGAAGTCAGAAAGTGTGAGGTGTTTTTAGCTATCTGGGTTTTCTTTTTTTATGGTTTCATATAAATTTTATAATTATTTTTTCTATTTCTGCAAAAAATACTATTGGGATTTTTTTGGTAGTTGCTTTGAGTCTATAGATCACTTTGGGTACAATGGGCAATTTTAAAACTTTAAATTTTTTATTCCATGAACATGGGATATCTTTTCCCTTATCTGAATCTTCTTTAATTTTTTCATCAATAAATTGTATTTTTCAGTGTACACATCTTTCATTTCTTTGTTTTACCTAAGTATTCCTTAGTTTTACCTAAGTATTTTATTCTTCTTAACAATATTATAAATGAGATTGTTTTCCTTATGTTCTTTTTGGATGTTTATTATTAATGAATAGAAATGCAGCTGATTTTTGTATACCAAGTTTGTATTCTGCAACTTTGCTGAATGTGTTCATTAGCTCTAACAGGTTTGTTTTGGTGGACTTCTTCATGGTTTATATATATAAGATCATATCATCTGTTAATAAGGACAATTTTGTTTCTTCTTTTACAATTTGGGTGCATTTTGTTTGTTTGTCTTACGTAATTGCTCTGGCTATGACTTTCAGTACTAGAAATAGTACTGAATAGAAGTGGTGTGAGTGGGTATCCTTGACTTGTTCCTGATCTTAGTAAAAAAGCTTCCAGGTATTTTTTGAAGCATTGATTATGATATTAGCTGTGAGTTTTTCAAATATGGCTTTTTTATGTTGAGGTAATTTCTTTCTATTCCTAGTTTGTTCAGTGTTTTTGTCTTAAAGAGGTATTAAATTTTTTCAAGTGCTTTTTCTGCATCTACTGATAGGATCATCTGATTTTTATCACTTGTTCTGATAATGTGACATTTCATATTGTTTGGTTTTCATATGGCAAACTATCCTTGCATTCCAAGGATAAATTCCACTTGGCCATGGTGTATATCCTCTTAATGTGCCATTACATTTGATATTAAATTTGGTTTGCTACTGTTTTTTGATTATTTTTGCATCTATATTTATCAAGGATATTGGTCCATAATTTCATTTTCTTGTAATATTTGTTGGCTTTGGAATCAGAATTCTAAATTGGCCTCATAAGTTTTGTCTTCCCTCTTCTTCAATTTTTTGAATAATTTAAAAAACACTGATGTTAATTCTTCTTTAAATGTTAAGTAGAATCCTCTAACGGTTCACTTGACTGTATTCTGTAAGTCCCTTAGGCTTTATTTATGGTTGTTTTTTGTTTTTCCCTTTGCTTCTCTTACTGGCTAATTTCAAGTGACCTGTCTTCAAGGTTTCTGATTCTTTCTTCTGCATAACTGAGTCTGTGTTGAACCTCTCTAGTAAATATTTCAATTCAGTTATTGTATTTGTCTACCCCAAAATTTGTTTCAATGTTTTCTCATGTTAATTTCTCATTTTCTGATTAATTGCTTTCATGAGATCATTGAACATTTTTATGGCAGTTGTTTTGAATTATTTGTCATGTTATTTATACTTCTATTTCTCAGAGTCATTAGCATATTTAAATTGAATCAAATTAGAGTGCCAATTCCAGAAACCCTAGAAGCAATTCAGAAAAGTCATCTTTAAAATTCTGTTCCTCTAAAACCACTCTTAGTACCAAAATCTGAGTTAGTCATGGTTCTCCAGAATAACTGAACCAGTAGGATCTATCTATCTATCTATCTATCTATCTATCTATCTATCTATCTATTTATCTATATATATGTAGTGTGTGTGTGTGTGTGTATGCTTCATATATGTTTGAATTATATATATGGAATTGGTTCATGGAATTATGGTGGCTGAGAAGTTGCAAGCTGGAGAAAGAGGAAAGCCTGCATTGTAATTTATTTCAAGTCTGAAGGCCTGATACCTAGGGTAGGGGGATGGGGCAATGGTGTTCAGTTCCAGAGCACTGATGTCTGAAGATGGATGTCCCAGCTCAATATCAAGATTAAGTTCTCATTCCCCCGCCTTTTGTTCTATTTGAGTCCTTAGCAAATTGAATGATGTTCAGTCAATTGAGTAATTATCACATCTTTATTTACCTGTAAACAGTTAAAATAGGGAAACTGGTCATTTTTTAAAAGAAATGTCTTACTAAAATTTAGTTTGTCTGGCTAGATCGCTTTAAACAAAGTCAAAACTTAGACACACATGCACACATAAAATGGAAAAATAAACAAAAAACAAAAACAATTGCTTAGGCAAATGTTTCATAGTAAATATAGGATGCTTATCCGAGTGACTTCTGGCCTTTTTGACTTCTGAGTATGCACTGCATATGTTTAAGGAGAATTGGAAGATCTAAATATCCTTCCATAATCTTTCTCTCTTCCCTCTTTTTCCGTATCTTTTTCTCACTTCTCCACTTACTTTTTCCTTCCTCCATTGTTCTGATTCTTTTCTAATTATTGTCTGTGGCATAAGTTGCTGTTCACTTAACAACAAAAAATCAGATGCAAAAAAAAAATACTTTTAAAACATATGTCACTCACTGTTACTTGTACAAATCTGAACAAAATATATGCTTTTAAATGTTAAAATGGTAGTGACTAGAGAATATGCTGGTAGCAAATGAAGATAAACTCTAAATATATCTCTTGTTGATACTTTACTTTAATATTTTAGGTAAAAACAGTTGTTATAAACACAAAATTATCCATACAATCACTTAATTCCTTTACATCATTTGCTAATATATATGTTGTTGGTATTTATTTTGCCTACCATCAGGCTTGCCAATCTAAGCTCAAAACTGGTATAGTTTATCATTTAACGTAGTAGTTGACACATA